GGATAATGTGTTAAGTCAATTGTTATATGTTGTATGGAACCACTGCTGTTTCTACTGTTTCTACTGTTTGTGTACCGCTGTGAGTCGCCTTCGGGCTTGAGATACAGCGGTATATAAGCAAAGTAAATAATAATAATCTCCTATCCCAAAATCTACTTACTGGCCATGGGGATTAATAATGTGTCCAGAATGCCAAAAGTAAGCCATAACAGTCAATATAATTTCAGTCTTTTGTTTTTTGCTCCCACATTTCTGTTATGGGCCAATGGTCATTAAATCACTCCTGAAAGCAGTGCCAGTGAAAAGCATCATCAGGAAAAAAAGTCAAAGAACAATGGAACTATGACGTCTTCTCTGAAATTCCAACCACCGGTACCAGCATCTTTTCTCTGAGGATGAATTCAATCGCACTCAGAAAGCTTTCGGCCTGGGAAGAAAATGCCATTAATCTGATTTCAACACCTTCTAGCCCATTTCAAGATTATGTCCAGTGAAGACTGTATCCACAGTGGTGCAATGGGTTAAATCCTTGTGCTGGCTGAACTGCTGACCTGAAGGTCAATGGTTCAAATCCAAAGTTGCTTCTGACACACACACACAACCAAGTGAAGAGTTAACATGTTTCTGATTTTAGTTTAGACTTCAGTTAAACTGGGAGAAGGCAATTTTTGACTTCTTACCGTGAGGGCCTGAATGGCTTCCCATTCTTGTGGAGATTGGATTTTGTGGGCAAGGAGCCGGGTTGCAAGTGGTGGGCTGTATGGGAAGACACAGGAATAGTTATTGAATGATTCATATTTTACTAGTAACATACTTTTTACTATATGTGTGGGCAAATGGACTGCTTATATCTTGCTTTTCCTTTTGCATTTCATTAATCATTTATAAATCATCTGCCACAATGGAGCCTGACTGACATTTCTCTGTAACAAATGTGGAGATGGCCTAGAACAGGACTGGAAAACACATAGCTTCCCAGATGTTACTGCATTAAATCTCTCAATATTGACTTCAATGGCTGGTCGACTTGGAGTTGTAGCCTAGTATATTTGGAAACCTCTAAGGCTTCCATCTTTAGTCTAGAACAGGGGTCCTCAAACTTTTTAAACAGAGGGCCAGTCCCTCCAACTGTTGGAGGGCTGGATTATAATTTGAAAAAAAATGAATGAATTCCTATGCACACTGCACATATCTTTTTTGTAGTACAAAAAACACTTAAAAACAATACAATAATTATAATGAAGAACAATTTTAACAAATATAAACTTATTAGTACTTCAATGGGAAGTGTGGGCCTGCTTTTGGCTGATAAGATGGGATTGTTGTTGTTTTCAAGTCATTTGTGCTTTCAAGTCATTTCAAACTTAGGCTGACCCTGAGTGAGGGCCGGGTAAATGACCTTGGAGGGCTGTATCTGGCCCCGGGGCCTTAGTTTAAGAATCCCTGGTCTACAATAAGGGTAGCAATTGTGGAATGCTAAGGAATTGCATTAACCCCCAGAAAAACATTGTGGAGTGATTTACCCTTCACTACTCCCCATTGAACACTTTCAGGTTGGGGGTCATTTCTAAGATGCTTTACCACCCAGGACACTTGAAACCCAGGAGAGACCTTTTTTTTTTTTTTTTAAAGCGAGCATTGAGAGATCACTTTTATTTCAAAAAAGCCCCTCTGGGCCTTAAAATGGCTCACAAAGAGTCAAATATATGGCTACCCCCCCCCCCTTCAATAGGAGGGCATTTAGGGCAATCCCCTACCCTTCTTTGAAAAAAAAAGTCCTCTGGAAGGCCACATATAGGCAACAGGCTCCACTTTGCCACCTCCTAGAAGCTTAGGAAAGAAGTCAACTGCTGCTTCCTCCTGCTCTTTCTGCTTCAGCTGAGCCCTAGTAGCAGTGACACTGGACATCTAGAGGTTAGGCAATGGCACTGCATCAAACAACTTAAGCTGCCTGATTATATGGAATGGCATTTCTGCTGACAGACAGCTAGAACATTTGACACACTTTTGAAAGCAATTATCATACAAACCATGTTATTAAGGGGCAGGACCATAATTCTCTGAAACTATGCATGGAGACATTCTCTCCTCCCACTACAGTCATTCAAAGCACCAAACCCCATACTACAAAAGATAGGAAACCCCCCTGAGCAAGCTTTTGACATGACTGCAAAGTCCTTGTATCAAAATCCTTATTTTGGCCCCATAACCTGCCCTCAAGTTATAAATGAGGTTGACTTATACATGAGTATATACAGTACTTCTTGAGCATTAGCCACAGATAATGTTAACAAAGAGGAGTTTTTTAAGGTGATGAAAGGGGTCTGGGATACCGACCCTTCTAATTCCTTATTCAGCTGATCACAAAAAGCATTGATGCTGTCCCATTCCAGGTCCTTGTTTAGAGGATTTGTAGCTCTATCTGAATTGAAAGAGAGAAAAAAGAAAATGTTCCATGATGTAAGATTTTACTTGCACACAGAATTAAAAAACAACAGATATTACATCTCTACCAGCCCTTTGTCAACTATACCCAACAGAAAAGGAAGAAAACAGTTTATTTTTGCAAGGATGCTAACACACATACTGGGCAGGGAAAACACTGTTTAGTGGAAAGCACGTGTTTTGCATAAAGAATGGTTTCAGATTCAGTTCTCAAAAACTTTGTTTAAAACTTAGTTATCTAACTAATTGCATCCCTGCATATAAACCAACACCCTTCTGGGCAGCTAAACCAAAAAATCCCAATTGGATGGTCCCCCACGAGGGTCTGCCTCCAGGGGCAAACCAAGAACGGGCAACTTGGAAGTCCCGGAACAGACTCAGAAGTTGAGTGGGCAGATCAAAAGACAACCTGGCAAAATGGCACTACCTAAAAGAATCCTCCAACTTGTGCGACTGTGGAGCAGAACAAACAATTCCACACCTGTATGCTTGTCCACAATGCCCTGCCTCATGTACAGAGGAAGAATTGTTTAAAGCTACAGACAATGTGGTCGCTGTTGCCCAGTTTTGTCAAAACATTATTTAGCAGCTTGTGGTCCTATTTTTATCAGTTTTATACTTACTTATGCTATGCTTTCGAGACATGAAATGAATAAATAAACCAACTATTAAATAAACCAACCAACTTTGGACACTGCAGTAATTGGAGAGGAACCTACCCTCAGTCCCACCCCCACCTCAAGTGTGAGGAGGAAGATGATTAGTTCTTTATTGCTTTTATCTTGTCTGACAATGCTAACAGTGATGACATTTCTTTAACTTACTGGAAAGCCACGGTTTTATATTAGTATATTTTAATTTTTTATACAGATTTTATCAGTCTGTGGTATTTGTTATTTATGAGGTCAATCAACTGCACGTTTTAGCCTTTGTTGTTTTATTACTTTATTTGTAACTGTTCACTTTAACTGCTTGTTTTCTTCTGTTTTATTCCTGTTTTTGCCTTTGGAAGCCACCGGAGTTCCGCCAGGGAGAGAGGATGGGCTAAAAAGAAAGTTTATTAATATTATTTTATTTATTTATTTAGAACATTTGTATCCCGTGCCATTCTTGACCTCTGAAGAGGGACTCAGGGCGGCTTCCAACAATATAAAAACACCAATAAAATACACAATTATATAAAATGATAATAAATATACATTTAAACACAGTTCACCAGGTTTAAAGCATCCTCCAAATTAGTCCAAAAAATGTGGTCAATAAAATCTCATCCACGCCAATAAAAACTGTCTATTCTGCAAACACTTGCTCCCACAGCCAAGTCTTAAGTGTCTTGCGAAAAGTCAGGAGGGAGGGGACAGATCTAACCTCTTTAGGGAGGGAGTTCCACTGCCGAGGGGCCACCACGGAGAAGGCCCTGTCTTTTGTCCCCACCAAACGCGACTGCAATGGTGGTGGGACCGAGAGCAGAGCCTCCCCAGACGATCTTAAAGTCCTTGATGGTTCATAGAGAGAGACACGTTCAGACAGGTAAAGTGGGCCAGAGCTGTTTAGAGCTGTATAGGTTGAAACCAGCACTTTGAATTGTGCTTGGAAGCTAATAGGCAGCCAGTGGAGCTGGTGTAACAAGCTGTTGTAAAAGAAGACACAATAGCAGAGCCCCCTGGTGGTGCAATGGATTAAATCACTGAGCTGCTAAACTTGCTAACTGAAAGGTTGGCGGTTCGAATCTGGGGAGTGGGGTGAGCTCCCACTGTTAGCCCTACCTTCTGCAAACCTAGCAGTTTGAAAATATGCAAATGTGAGAAGATCAATAAGTAATGCTTCTGCGGGAAGGTAACGGTGCCCCACGCAGTCATGTTGGCCACATGACTTTGGAGGTGTCTACAGACAACGCCGGTTCTTCGGCTCAGAAATGGAGATGAGCACCACCACCCCAGAGCCGGATACGACTAGACTTAATATCAGAGGAAACCTTTACCATATGAAGGCACCACAGAAAGAGGTCCACTTGAGACCCACACACATTATGGATAACTAGTAGAAATAACATTTCACAAACTGCAGCAAAAGGTTTTCGTTAATATAAGACAGCTTCATATGAACTTGAATGAGACAACAAATGGCCACGGAGACAGGAAAAAACTCTTATATTACACTAGCTGTAGCCACCACGTGTTGCTGTGGCCAAGCTTCCCTTCCTCTTTCTCTCCTTCCTTCCCTTTTTTCTTTCATGCTCTCCTTCCTTCTCTTCCTCCTCCCTTCCTTCCCTTTTCTTTCCCTTCTTATTTCTCCCCTTTCTTCCTTTTCTACCAATTCTTGGACTGCAACTCCCAGCAGTCCTCTTGATGTATCTACCTACCTTATCTATCTCCTGATGTATCTACTTACCTACCTTATCTATCTCTATCTAATCTATTTATCTATCTGGAGGATTGCTGGGAGTTGCAGTCCAGGAATAAGAAATTGGAAATATGCAAGAATTGGAATGCTCTCAAAGAAATCCAAGAAGAAAGCTTGCAGCTTGGAAGCAGTGCATTTGGGTCATCCTCCTCTCCTAAAGGGCCTAGTTTAGGGGATGCTGGGAGCTGTAGTCTGGAAGAGAGTGTGTATATGCTATTGTGTGTTTTGTTTGTCAAGGGGAGTCTTTTTTGTGCATGTGCTGCAGTGCCTTTTTGCTTTTTAGGCTTTTTCAGTCCCTTCTGCTGTGTTCTCAGTGTTTTTATGAGTGATAGTCACTCGTTGGCTTGATAAGTGTGTTGTGTCCAAATTTGGTGTCAATTTGTCCAGTGGTTTTTGAGTTATGTTAATCCCACAAACAAACATTACATTTTTATTAGGTAAGATAGCTTCATATGGACTTGAATGAGATGGCGAATGGCCACGGAGACAGAAGAAAACTGTTTTATATTACATTAAAAACTGGAAAAGGGGATACTCGGGCATGGGGAAACTTCAGCCCTCCAGGTGTTTAGGACTTCAACTCCCACAATTCCTAACAGCCGGTAGGCTGTTAGGAATTGTGGGAGTTGAAGTCCAAAACACCTGCTCTAGTTGGAGCAAGCGCTTGCAAAGACAGATGGCGAGGGAAACTGCAGGCTTGCGGCCTGGGCGAAGAAGGGCAGCTCTGCCCAGATCCTCCCTCCAGGCCCTGAATCCACGGGGACCCGCCTCCCTTCCCACTCACTGATCTTCGACTCCAAAGTCTCCGTCTCCATCCGGGGCTCCATCGGCTCGGCTGCCCCTTGGGCCCCCGCCCGGCACTCTCCGATTAAGCGCCCAGCTCCTCGACCCGGCGGCGGAAAGCCATGGAAGAGACACCCCAACAACCGCCCAAGCAGGCCGCCCTGGAAACCACAGAGAGGCGGAAGTTGCGGCTAGAAGGTCACCTTCCGCTTCCTCTTCCGGATCATAGAGTTGGCAACAAGGCCAGGATTTGAGTAAACAAGACATCCATGTCCAAGCCTTGAATGGAGGGCGAGGACGGTCTCCTTCATTCCTTCATTTAGGCCTTCAGGTTCCTTTTTGGACTCCAACTCCCAGAAGCCTCAGCTGTATTGACCAGCGATGAGGGATTCTGGGAAATGAAGTTCAACGAGGCTGCTGCTTACGTCAGAACCGTTGGCGACCTTTGATTGGAGCAGAAAAGGACAGGCAGCGACTTCCGCGTTGAGTGGCGCGTCTTTGTTTGAAAACTCGAGAAGGGCGGGCGGTTGCCATTGGCGACGAGAAATAGAGGGAGGGGGCCTGGCGCAATGCATTCCGGGAGCCGCGGCCTCATTGGCTCCTGAGGAGTATTTAAAGCCGGGGGCCCATCCTTGTCAAGCAAGGCCTACTTGCTCTTTTAGGCTCAAGGAATGTCACTCCTATTAGGGACCATTTCAGTGCTGTAGCTCTTTCTAGTGTAGGTTCTTGTGGTTTTTTTCGGGCTATAGGGCCATGTTCTAGAGGCATTTCTCCTGACGTTTCGCCTGCATCTATGGCAAGCATCCTCAGAAGTAGTGAGGTCTGTTGGAATTAGGACAATGGGTTTATATATCTGTGGAATGGCTGGGGTGGGGCAAAGAGCTCTTCTCTGCTGGAGCTAGGTGTGAATGTTTCAGCTGACCACCTTCATGAGCATTTGAAGGCCTGGCTGTTCTGTTGAGAGGTGTTAAGATGTGCCTGGTTGTTTCCTCTCTGCTGTTTTGCTGTTGTAATTTTAGAGTTTTTTAATACTGGTAGCCAGATTTTGTTCATTTTCATGGTCTCCTCCTTTCTGTTGAAATTGTCCACATGCTTGTGGATTTCAATGGCTTCTCTGTGTAGTCTGACATGGTGGTTTTTCGTGTGGTCCAGCATTTCTGTGTTCTCAAATAATATGCTGTGTCCAGGTTGGTTCATCAGGTGCTCTGCTATGGCTGACTTCTCTGGTTGAAGTAGTCTGCAGTGCCTTTCATGTTCCTTGATCGTGTTTGGGCAATGCTGCGTTTGGTGGTCCCTATGTAGACTTGTCCACAGCTGCATGGTATACCGTAGACTCCTGCAGAGGTGAGAGGATCCCTCTTGTCCTTTGCTGAACGTAGCATTTGTTGGATTTTCTTGGTGGGTTTGTAGATTGTTTGTATGTTGTGTTTCCTCATCAGCTTCCCTATGCGGTCAGGGGTTCTCTTGATGTATGGCAGGAACACTTTTCCTCTGGGTGGATCTTCATCTTTACTCTCGTGGCTTGTTCTTGGTCTTGCAGCTCTTCTGATGTCTGAGGTGGAGTATCCATTGGCCTGGAGAGCCCAGTTGAGGTGGTTCAGTTCATCTTGGAGGAGGTGGGCTTCGCAGATTCTTTTTGCACGGTCTGCCAAGGCTTTAATGGTGCTTCTTTTTGGACTTGGGTGATGGTTGGAGTTTTTATGTAGATATCTATCTGTGTGTGTGGGTTTCCTGTAGACGGTGTGACCCAATTGTTGATCTGGTTTGCGGATGACTAGGACATCTAGAAAAGGCAGTCTTCCTTCATTTTCTTTTTCCATTGTGATTGTGAAATCACCCCATAAAACTCAAGATTTAGAACAGTGTTTCTCAACTTCCTAATGCCGACATCTATATAAATAAAAATGTAATGTTCGTTTGTGGGATTAGCATAACTCAAAAACCAGTGGGCCAATTGACACCAAATTTTGACAGCATACACCTAACAACCCAATGTATGTCCTTCACTCAAAAAAATTGATTTTGTCATTTGGGAGTATTAGTTGATGAGATTTATAGTTTACTTACAATCAAAGAGCATTCTGAACTCCACCAATGATGGAATTGAACCAAATGTGGAGCACAGGACTCCCATGACCAACAGAAACACTAGAAGTTTTGGTGGGCATTAACCTTGAGTTTGGGAGTTGTAGTTCACCTACATACAGAGAGTACTTTGGACTCAAACAATGATGTATCTGGACCAAACTTGGCATGAATATTTCATATGCCCAAATGTGAATACTGGTGGAGTTTGGGGGAAATAGACCCTGACATTTGGGAGTTGTGGCTAGTCTTCTATATAAATAAAAATGTCATGTTCGTTTGTGGGATTAACGTAACTCAAAAACCACTGGATTAATTGACACCAGATTTGGACACAGTACCCCTATCAGGCCAGCGAGTGACTATCACTCATAAAAACACTGAAAAACACAGTGGAAGGGACTTAAAAGGCCAAAAAAAGCAAAAAGATGCTACAGAGTATGCACAAAAACTACTCCCTCGGCAAACAAAACACACAATAGCATATCCACACTCTCTTCCGGACTACAACTCCCAACATCCCCTAGACCAGGCCCTTTAGGAGAGGAGGATGATTGAAATGCACTGCTTCCAAGCTGCAAGCTTTCTTCTCCTTGGATTTCTTTGAGAGCATCCCAATCCCTGCATATTTCCAATTTCTTATTCCTGGACTGCAACTCCCAGCAATCCTCCAGATAGAGAGATTAGAGATAGATAGATAGATAAGGAGGACTGCTGGGAGTTGCAGTCCAAGAATTGGTAGAGAAGGAAGAAAGGGGAGAAAGGGGAAAGGAAAGGGGAGGAGAAAGGGAAGAGGAAGAGAAGGAAGGAAGGAGAGAAGGAAAGAAAAAAGGGAAGGAAGAAAGAAAATCGGGAGGGAAGGAAGAAGAGAAAGAAAAGAGAAAAGAGGATGGTTAGCTACAGCAACACGTGGCGGGTACAGCTAGTGACTTAATATTATTTATTATTTATTAATACAGTTCCTCATGTTGTGGTAACCCCCAACCATAACATTATTTTCGTTGCTACTTCATAACTGTTATTTTGCTACTGTTATGAATCGCAATGTAAATATCTGATATGCAGGATGTATTTTCATTCACCGGACCCAATTTGGCACAAACACCTGATACGCCGAAATTTGAATACTGGTGGGGTTGGATTGATTTTGTCATTTGGGAATTGTAGTTGCTGAGATTTGTAGTTAACCTACAATCAAATAGCAGTTTGAACTTCACCAACGATGGAATTGAAACAAACTTGGCACACAGAACTCTGAACAAAAAATATTGGAAGCATTTGATGGGAATTGACCTTGAGTTTTGGAGTTGTAGTTCACCTACATCCAGAGAGCACTGTGGACTCAAAGAATGATAGATCTGGATCAAACTTGGCATGAATCCTTAATATGCCCAAATGTGAACACTGGTGGAGTTTGGAGCAAAATAGATCTTGTCATTTGGGAATTGTAGTTGCTGAGATTTATAGTTCATCTACAATCAAAGATCTTTCTGAACCCCACCAACAATAGAATTGGGGCAAAATTCCCACACAGGATTTCCTGACCAACAGAAAATACTGTGGTTTCTGATCTTCTTTGGAGACCCCTTTGAATTCTGACCCCCAGGTTGAGAAACACTGCTTTAGAATCAAAACCTGACTCTTAATCCATCTAAAACACAGACATGTGTTTTTCATCTTAAGAATAGAAAAGCATCTTGAGCTCTGAGGATTTCCTAGGAAGGGATCCCCCTGGAACATTACAGCATACCCAAATACCTAGGAGTTACCCTGGACTGTTCTCTGACCTACAAGAAGCACTGCTTGACTATCAAGCTAGAAATAATATCATACGAAAGCTGACTGGCACAACCTGGGGATCACAACCAGACAGTGAAGACTTGTACTTCGCTACTCTGCTGTTGAATATACATGCCTAGTGTGGAACACATCTCACCACGCTAAATCAGTGGATATGGCCCTTAATGAGACATGTTGTATTAGCACAGGGTGTCTGCGCCCTACACCCCTGCAGAAATTACACTGTTTAGCTGGTATTGCACCACATGACATCCGCTGGGAAGTAGCAGCCAATAACGAAAGGACCATGGCAGTGACATCTCCAGCCCATCCCCAGTTCGGATATCAGCCAGCATGCCAATGCCTTAAATAAAAAAACAGCTTCCTAAGATCTACAGAGATACTCGCAGGAACACCTCAGCAATCGAGAGTCCAAAAGTGGCAGGCTAAAACACAGAACCTCAATCAATGGCTGATACCGAATGAGGGACTCCCTCCTGGGCACACAGAAGACTGGGTGACTTGGAAGGCACTGAACAGACTGTGCTCCTGCACCACGAGATGCAGAGCCAACCTTCAGAAATGGGTCCACAAACTGGAGTTCATGACATGTAAGTGTGGAGAAGACCACCTACTACAATGCAGTCTGAGCACAACAGAGGAACTTATAGCAACACCAGAGGTACTCCAAGTGGCCAGTTTCTAGTCAAAGGACATTTAGTATAATGCCAAGTTTTTAACATTGTTTGTGCTTTTTAAATACATTACAACTGTCCCATCAATTCACTTCTTACATGATAAATAAAACCCTATAAAACATTTCAAAATCAGTTTAACAGTGAACAAAAATGTCAAAAGAAAAATAAAAAGCCCCAGTGAAGATCTAGAGTGTAGATCAGGCATGGGCAAACTTGGGCCCTCCAGGTGTTTTGGACCAGTAGGCTTAGGAATTGTGGAAGTTTAAGTCCAAAACACTTGGAGGGCCCAAGTTTGCCTGGTGTAGATGTACCCTATGATGATGGCATGATAGAAAGCCTCCCCATGAAGATCTTAGAGCTCTGGCAGGATTGTATGGGGAGATACAGGGTATGTATATCTACACTTGAATTGTAACTATCATGACGTCCCATAAAAAGCGCTCCTCCTGGAGTCTTCTAGTGTAGAAGGCAGCTGTATTGCAAATCTTTATGGGCTTTGTAGTTTGGTGAAGCACCAATACTCTTTGGGGTAGAAGGCTAAAGACCCCAAAGAACTGCAACTCCCGTGTTTCTGCAGCATTGTGCCTTGGCTGAGAAAGTGGTGTTAAACTGCCTTCATTCTACAGTGTAGATTCACCCTAAATCTCCTGCAGGTAAATTCTTCCTCCATTTGGAGTTATATTTCCTCACATACTTTGGTTGTTTCTCACTTACTTAGCACCATATCGTATACCAGTAGGATTACTAAAATGCAGCTTTATCCCATTGCTATTATTTTTCTAATCCCGTTAAAATACATTGTTTATGAGGAGGGTTCCTACGTCTTTTTTTTGTC